ACTGAGAAGTTTGAGTATTCAGTCTTTTTCTTCTTTGATGAGCTGTGCCTTGTACCTGACCCATTTGAGGCCGACGTGGACTCTGTTCTTGACTTGACAACGTAGACTGCCTTTTCTGGGGATATCGTTGGTTTCGTGTGACTTCTGTGATGGAATTTCCCAGCCATCATGGCAACCAATCCGGGAGTGATTGCCTCCCAGTGCTCTGGTTTGTATGATAACAGAGCCCTTATTGGTTAAGCCACCTTCAGTCTTGGAGTTCTGTTCTCTCTATGGAATGATTTGATAAACAGCTGGGTTTTACAAACACAAAGAATAACGTTGGGACCCCAAGCTTGTGTGCCTCAGAGTCACAATATGATGACAGAGAGTAGTTCTCCCAGTTTGTCCTTGTTTGCACTGCTGCCCAAGGCCTCCAATGAAAAGCTTCAGGATCTCTGGTCCTAGTTTGTAGGCTGAATGCCATAATTTCTTCTGGGTTCAGAGGTCAACCTGAAGAGGGAGCAGCACCTGTGACGCCTGTGGTGCTTCTGAGAGCACCATGAAATTATTCACAGGGAATGTTGCCTTGGGCTCAGCACCGGTGAGGGCAAAACCTCCCACACTCTGCAGTGGAGGCATGGGCCACATTTTGATGTCCAAAATTCTGTAGGATAGCATCATTGTAAGACCAGAAAGAAAACGATACTTGTCACAGAAACGCTAGATTAAGGGCACCTGGCTGGCTCAGTCACAAGAGCGCGTGACTCTTGATCAGGTTGTGAGTTTCCGCCCTACACTGGGTGTAGCGGTTACTCCATAAACACTCATCCCCCACAACCCCTGTGCAGCTCTTTCCTGCAGCCTCTTTTCAACTCAGAGCCTGCTTCAGATCCTACGTCCCCCTTTCTCTCTGTGCCCCTCTCCTGCATGCACTCTCTCTCTCAAAAATAAACATTAAAAAAAAAGGCAGCCAGATTCCAGCCACAACTCCTAAGTCACAGCTCTGTCTTATTAACTTGCACCTGGACTATAGTAGTAACCCCGATCTTCCTTCCCCTTCTCTCAAGTCCACAGACTGCCCGTTCTCTGCTCTGCACCCAGATGGAGTCTGTTAGGATCCGGATATCACTTCCTCATTCTCATCAGTTTTACCGCTAAGCATATACACATCCTGGTAGCAGTTCCTAGGTTAACTTCCCACACTGATTTACATCAGTTCCCAGTCAAGGGAATACCACTATATATATACAGCCTGCAGTGGACTTAGAACTCTGGACTTGGAGCTTCTCCAGTGTCCCCAGACTCAAGGGCTGGAGGAATAGCAGCAAGAGTCCCACAACAGCACAATCCAGAAAATCCCGGGGTGGGGAGCTAGCAATATCAAGGGCCTGGGACAGCCTCCACTGATCTGTGTAGATTCCATAAGAGCTCCTTCAGTCATGGGAACACGCGTGAAGAGGCAGATCTTAGAGAAATGGGTCCATGGCAGAGCTCAATGGGTTCCTGCCTCTCTGCTCCCTTCCTTAACCCCAGAGCCAGGTGATTGTAGGCTAGCTGTTTCACTTCAGGGCCTCAGTGCTCAGTGTTGCCTCTCACCAGCAGAGACTGATATGAGGAACAAAGGCAAAAGAAAAAAATTAAACTTCCTTACAACTCACAGCCCAGTGACAAGTCCCTGAGAAAGGCAGAGTGACCTTCCTCTTGGAGGAACATCAACCGCCTTGATGTTAATACTTTGCTAGAGGTAAAAGGCAATCTTAGCTTAACATCATCCTGACATCCAGGACCCTGTAAGTCTCCTTTAACATATAAAAATTCCTTTGAAATTTCCCTTGTGGTACCCTCCCAAGATACATGTTAGCAATCTTCCCAAGCATAAGGCCCCCGATATACCCGTGAAGCATCTCATGACTAAGGTGGCTTCCCCCCCTCCCTTTTTTAAAGTTTACTTATTTTTGAGAGAGAAATAGGGAGACAGAGAGGGAGACAGAGAATCCGAAGCAGGCTCTGTGCTGTGAGTGCAAAGGCCAACATGGGTTAGAACGCAGGAGCCATGAGATCATGACCTGAGCTGAAGTCGGACTCTCAACTGACTGAGCCACCCAGCCACCCCTGATGACTAAGGTTTTATTAGACAGCAATAAATAGTATATTGTTACAATTAGGGAACCTACATTGATACTCATTATCACCCAAGCCTCAGCTTCTGTTTATTTTTTGATGATTCTAGCTGCTCTAAATGTCCTCCTTTGTTCTCCATCCATGCTGGTATTATTTAATGTTCTCATGGATGAAAAAGATTTGCATTTTGGAGAATGAAATATTCAGAATGACCATTTTATTCATGTGCTTAATTTAATTCTATCTGTTCTTAGACATTATTGCTGCAACTTCTCTGAGGTACTGCCTTTTTTCACCGTCCGTGATGTTTCACCCATGCTTTCTTAAAAGTAGGCTTCACACTCAGTGCAGCCAAAACACCAGAACCAACCACATGTCAGTGCTGGGGATTTTCTCACTGTCTCTCTCTCTGCCCCTCCCATATTTGCATATACTCTCTCTCAAAATAAATAAAAATATTTAAAAAATTTTTAAAAAGAGGGATGTCAAGATTAGAAATAAAACAGCATAGCAATATGCATAGTAATGGAAGAAACAAGAATGATCATGAAATGATACATGATGAAAAACTGGGGACAGGTTTATGGAACTTCACAACAGTCCTCTCCTTTGTGTGTATATTTGAAAATATCCATTATAAATAAGGTAAAATATGTCCTTGATTCAGTACCTTTATATATTAAGGATGGATTAAGAAAGGCAATGGGACGCCTGGGTGGCTTAGTCGGTTAAGCGACCGACTTTCGCTTAGGTCATGATCTCGCGGTTCGTGGGTTCGAGCCCCGCGTCGGGCTCTGTGCTGACTGCCAGCTCAGAGCCTGGAGCCTGTTTCAGTCTGTGACTCCCTCTCTCTCTGACCCTCCCCTGCTCACGCTGTCTCTCTCTCTCTCTCCTAGAAATAAATAAAACATTAAAAAAAAAAAAAAAAGAAAGGCAAGAAGGAATTTTTAGTCTCAAGAGTTTAGGAATATCAAAACGGGGGCACTTGGGTGGCTCAGTCGGTAAGGCATCTGACTTTGGCTCAGGTCATGATCTCACGGTTTGTGGGTTCGAGCCCCATGTCGGGGCTCTGTGCTGACAGCACAGAGCCCGGAGCCGGTTTCAGATTCTGTGTCTCCCTCTCTGTCTCTACTTCTCCTACTCGTGCTCTCTCTCTGTCTTAAAAATAAATAAACTATTAAAAAAAATAAGAATATCAAAACAGGGGCGCCTGGGTGGCTTAGTCGGTTAAGCGTCCGACTTTCGCTTAGGTCATGATCTCGCGGTTCGTGGGTTCGAGCCCCGCGTCGGGCTTTGTGCTGACTGCCAGCTCAGAGCCTGGAGCCTGTTTCAGAGTCTGTGTCTCCCTCTCTCTCTGACCCTCCCCTGCTCACGCTGTTTCTCTCTCTCTCTCCTAGAAATAAATAAAACATTAAAAAATTAAAAAAAAAAAGAGTATCAAAACAAAAATCATTTGCTTTAAATATACACAATTTATGACAAGAGAACTATATAGTCAATGTTCATTTTTCATGGATTTTGTTATTTAAAAATTTGTCTAGTTGCTAAAATTTGAAACTGTAAAATCAATACTCACACTTCTATATTCACCCAGATATATTCAGAGCTACGAAAAATTTAAGTCACCTGATATGCATGAGGCCTACAAGGCCACAGGATGCCATCTTATTCATACTGAAAACAAGTGTTCTTCTCATGATCTATTTATTGCCATGCTTGCTGTTTTTCTTCATGATTCTGTGGTTCCAAATGGTTCCCAAGCCTAATACCTAAGTGCTGTCTAGTGTTCCTAAGCATAAGGAATGTGCCTTAAAGAAAATACACGTTAGGCAAACATTGGTCAGGCATGCATTACAGTGCTGTTGGCCATGAGTTCAATATTATCCAATCAACAAGACATAGTAAATGAGTTGCATTTAAACAGAAACACACGTGGGGGGGCCTGGGTAGCTCAGTCGGTAGCTCAGACTCTTGATCTCAGCTCAGGTCAAGATCTCTCAGTTTCGTGAGTTCGAGCCCCACACTGGGCTCTGCACTGGCAGCATAGAGACTGCTTGGGATTCTCTTTCCCTCTCTCTCTCCCCCCTTCCCCCATTCACACCGTCTCTCTTTCAAATAAAATTTAAAAAAATATATTAAACAGAAACATATGTAAAACAATGTTATGTATTGACTGACTGATGAAAATGTGGCCAGAGGCCCTTAGGAACTTAATTCCTTATTTCCCCAGGAACAACAGTTCTGTATTCACTAATTCAATGCTCCCAGTAACTTTCTAGAACATAACCATCATGAATAACAAGAATTGACTGTACTTCAATAAAGCTGCTAAGAGCAAAGTAATTCTTTTTTTTTTTTTAATGTTTTATTTATTTTTGAGAGAGAGAGAGAGAGAGAGAGAGAGAGACAGCATGAGCAGGGGAGGGTCAGAGGGAGAGGGAGAAACAGAATCCGAAGACAGGCTCCAGGCTCTGAGCTAGCTGTCAGCACAGAGCCTGATGCAGGGCTGGAACCCACGAACTGTGAGATCATGACCTGAGCCGAAGTCGGAAGCTTAACTGACAGCCACCCAGGTGACACAAGAGCAAAGTAATTCTTAAAATTTGTGACTTTCTAGTTACCTTACTATGTTTTCATATGTTCTTGGCATTATTCATTATTTCACTTCAAGTCCAGTGAAAACAGAGTATGCTGTGGTACAAAGAAATTTGTATCTTTGTCCTCTCTAAGTCTGCCATAATAAAATACCAGGCTAGTTGGCTTACACAACAGAAATTTATTTTCTCATGCTTCTAGAGGTAAGATCTCCAAGACCGGGTGCCATCAGGATTGATTTATGGTGAGGCCACTCTTCCTGGTTTACAGACAACTGTCTTTCTTACGTGGTCTGTCTTTTGTTAATGGAAAGAGAGAAAGAGAGAGTGCACAAAAGTTCACAAGGGCACACCTTCTAGAATCTCTTTGTCTTAAAAGGACACCAGTAACACTGGATTAGGACACCATATTTATGACCTCATTTATTCTTAATTATCTTAGTAAAAAAGCCACACCTAAAAATAGTTAAATTAGGGGCTAGGACTTGAACAAATGAATTTTGAGGGGAACAATGCAATCTGTAACAGACTTACCTGTATTATCTAAAGGGTTTTATTCCTTGTGGACATCCTGCAGTTTTAGGAGATTAGAGTTGAAGGTAAACGATTTCCCACATTCAATACATCCATAAGGTCTTTCTCTAGTGTGAACTCTCTGATCATTAATAAGGTTAGAACTCTGGCTAAAGGATTTCCCACATGTACTGCATTCATAAGGCCTCTCCCCAATATGAACTCTTTGGTGCTTAATGAGGCTAGAGCTGTCACTAAAGGATTTCTCACACTCATTACATTCATAAGGCCTTTCTCCAGTGTGACTTCTCTGGTGTCTAATTAGGCTAGAGCTGTGGCTTAAGGATTTCCCGCATTCACTGCACTCATAAGGCCTTTCCCTTGTGTGAACTCTCCAATACTGAAGGAGTGTAGAGCTATGGCTAAATGATTTCCCACATTCCCCACAATCAAAAGGCCTTGCTCCAGTGTGAATTCTCCGTGTGCAATGAGATTCACTGCACTCATATGATCTTTCTCCAGCATGAACTCTCTGGTGTTTAATGAGGTGAGAGCTCTTGCTAAAGTATCTCCCACATTCACTACACTCAAATGGCCTGTCTTCAATGTGAACTCTGTGGTGCTTAATGAGGTTGGACAAATGGTAAATAATTTTCCACATTCATCACATTTGTGAGGTCTTAAACAAGTGTGAGTTCTCTGATGTTGAAAGAATTGGTAACTAGAGACAAAGAATTTCGCATGTTCACTGCACTCACAAGATCTTTCTCCAGCATGAACTCTCCAGTGTCTAATGAGGTGAGAACTCTAGCTAAAGGATTTCCCACATTTCCCACACTCCTAAGGCCTTTCTCCAGTGTGAATTCTCTGGTGTTTAATGAGACTAGAGCTGTGGCTAAAGGATTCCCCACATTCAATGCATTCATCAGGCCTGGTTCCAGTATGAATTCTCTGGTGAGTAATGAGGTCAGAGTTGTAGCAAAAGAATTTCCCACACTCACTACAACCATATGGCTTTTCACCAGTGTTAACTTTCTGATGCATAATAAAGTTGTACTTCTTGCTAAATAACTTTCTGCATTCATCACATTCATGAGGTCTTAGTCCAGTGTGAAGTCTCTGGTGTTGAATGAGGCCAGAGCTTTGCCAAAAGGATTTCCCACATTCCCCACACTTATAAGGCTTTTCTCTAGTGTGAACTTTCAAATAGTCACAGAGGCTACAGCTTTTGCTAAAGGATTCTCCACATTCACCACAGCTGTAATATCTTTCCCTTGTGAAAGGTGCTGGTGCTGAACAAACATGTGTTTGGGGCTGAAAGCTTTAATGCAGTCTCCCTGGTTATAACGACACTTTACACTGAGGAAGGCCACCACACACTTAGTTCCACTGTGTGACTTCTCCCTCGTGTGAGTGACCTGTTGCTGGAGAAAGTCTGAGCTGGCCAAGAAGGTCCTCCTAATTTCTTTGCAGGTAAAGGGCTTCACTGACATGGAATCTGCAGTTCTCCAAAAGTGAGGCTCTGCCCACATTGCTTCTGAAGTGCTTCTCTCCAATGTGCTATTTATGGTGCTGATAAAGGTTTGCAGTGACATGAAATTGTTTTCCAAATGCTCCACACAGGTATAGTTTCTGCTTATGAGGAGTATCCTGGTGCTCGACCAAATGCAAACTGTCCTGTGTCCCTCTCAAGACGGGTCCACAAATCTTCTGAGGACACCTACCTGCTTTGGGAGTCCTGTCCTGTGACAATACTCTTGCAGAAATGCACTCCTCAGAAGATAGGGCCTCATCCTCCACTCCACACCAACAACCTAAAAGAAAGAAGCACTGATGAAGTGCATGTTGACTCTGGTGAGAAGGGGAAACCTGTAGAAAAGTTATCTGACCAACCCAGGAACGAATCAGTGGGATTGTTTTGAGGGCCAAAGAGCTGGGTACAGATTGTGGATGGGCAGCTTATCAGAACTGAGTCTTTATTTTTTTATTTTATTTTTTTTATGTTTTATTTATTTCTGAGAGAAAGAGAGAGACAGCGTGAACAGGGGAGGGTCAGAGAGAGAGGGAGACACAGAATCTGAAAGAGGCTCCAGACTCTGAGCAAGCTGTCAGCACAGAGCCCGACACGGGGCTTGAACCCACAAACAGTGAGATCATGACCTGAGCTGAAGACGGATGCTTAACCGACTGAGCCACCCAGGCGCCCCTCACGTTGAAATCTTAACTCTCTAGGTGATGGTATTAGGAGATGTGGCCTTTGGCAAGCGATTAGATCATGAGGGTGAAATCCTCATGAATGGGATTAGTGCCTTTGTAGAAGTGACCCTAGAGAGCTCTCTCATTCTCTCTCTGCCATGTGAGGACACAGGTACAAGATGGCCATTTATGAACCAGGAAGAGGCCCTTACCAGATACCAAATCTGCCAGTACCTCCACTGAGGGCTGTCTAGCCATCAGACTTGTGAAGTCCGTATTTCTGACCTAAGCACCCAGCCTGTGCTAGTTTGTTATAGCAGGTGGAATGGGCCCCAACAGAAACACGCATAAACCACGGCGGCGGCTGCAACAAATACCTAAGAAAGTGGAAGCAGCTTTGACACTAGGAGCTGGTGGGCAGGCTGGCAGAGCTTTCGTGGTGTGTGCCAGCACAGGCCGATGCTGCTATGAAGGAAGCGCTAAGGGCAATTCTCGTGAGACTTTAGGAAAAGGAGAGTTATAAGGAAAGCTTCCATCCTCTTAGGGGATACTTAAGTAATCGTGAACAGAATGTTGGGAGAAATATGGATGGACTTGACCAGAATGGTAGAGGAAATGAGGAACCTGTTATTGGACAATGGATATAAAAGGATGAATTTTGTTCATGTTCTAGCATTTTGTAGAAGCAAAATGTAAAAGCAATTAAACTGGATATTTAGCTGGGAAAATTTCTAATTTTTTTTTTTAATGTTTTATTTATTTCTAGGAGAGAGAGAGAGAGAGACAGCATGAGCAGGGGAGGGTCAGAGAGAGAGGGAGTCACAGACTGAAACAGGCTCCAGGCTCCGAGCTGGCAGTCAGCACAGAGCCCGACGCGGGGCTCGAACCCACGAACCGCGAGATCATGACCTAAGCGAAAGTCGGACACTTAACCGACTAAGCCACCCAGGCGCCCCTAGCTGGGAAAATTTCTAAGCAAAGTGTTGAAGGAGTGGCTTGGTTCTTCTTGACCGCTTTTAGTAAAATCCAAGTGGGGAGAATTGATTTGAAGATGATTTGAAGATGCGATGGCTAAGCAAAAAGGAACCAGAACTTGGCGTGCCTGGGTGGCTCAGCCGGTTAAGCATCTGACTTCAGCTCAGGTCGTCATCTTGCAGTTTGTGAGTTCAAGCTGTGCTTTGGGCTCTGTGCTGGCAGCTCAGACCCTGGAGCCTGCTTCAGATTCTGTGTCACCCTCTCTCTGCCCCTTGCCGGCTCATTCCCTCGCTCTCTCAAAAGTAAATACATATTTTTACAAAATTAAAAAGAAAAAAGAAACCAGAACTTAAAGATATGGAAAATTCTCAGTCTATCCACGATGAAAAAAATGAAAAAGCAGTGTTCATAAGGAAATACTAAGAATACGGCCAAGTGACTGATAAGGATATCAGAACGCGTACGAACCAGGCTTTATTAGCCACCTCCACAGAAGCCAGGTGCTATTCTTCAAGACAAGGGAAGAATGACACCACCCTGCCTGGCACCTCAAGGTGATCAGATCCTCAGGGCTGCCATTCCCACCAACAGACCAGAAAGCATGGGCCAGTGGGGTAGAGTGAGTTCAACGGGTAGGTCCACCTCCCTGGTTCAGGAAGGCCAGATGTCCCTGCAGGGCCTCAGGAAGGGGCTCCTCCAGAGAGCTGCGCAGTGTGCTCGGCAGAGGGAGGCGGCCAGTATTCAGAACAGCAGGGTCTGGACCCAAAGTGGTAGAGCCACCAGCTTGGGGGTCCAGTTTAGGAAGAGCTATAGTCATGAAACCCCAAACCAGGAGGGCCCAGGGCAGGACTGCTGCCTGTGAGAGCCCTGGAGGTAGCACCGCTGCTCTGTGGACCCGGGCGGTGGGCCTGCTCTTCCGTGGACCCGGGCAGCACCCCATCGAGCCATAAAGTACTCTTCGGGCTTAAGGGTTTTTTTTTTTTTAAATGTTTTATTTATTTCTAGGAGAGAGAGAGACAGCGTGAGCAGGGGAGGGTCAGAGAGAGAGGGAGTCACAGACCGAAACAGGCTCCAGGTCCGAGCTGGCAGTCAGCACAGAGCCCGATGCGGGGCTCGAACCCACGAACCGCGAGATCATGACCTAAGCGAAAGTCGGACGCTTAACCGACTAAGCCACCCAGGCGCCCCCGGGCTTAAGGTTTGAGAGAATTTGCCTGTGTGTTTTGTACTTACGTGCTAGCTATCGCTTCTCCTTTCCCATTCCTTCCTTTTGGAACTGGAATGTCTACTCTACCTCTGTTCCACCTCTGTAGTTTGGAAGCACATAACTTGCTCGGTTATACAGGTTCACAGCTGGAAAGAAATTTGTTGCAGGATAAATCATACCTCAAGTTTCACCCACACCTGATAGAGATAATATTTAGATACGACTTTAGAATTCAAAGTTAATGCTAGAACTAGTTAAGATATGGGGGCTGCTGGAAGGGATGAATGCATTTTGCATGTGAGAAAGACATGAATTTTAGGAGCCAAAGATGGAATGCTATGGACTGGGTGTCCGTGCCCCCCCCCAAATGCATGCCGAAATTGTAACCCTCAATGTAATGGTATTAGGAGGTAAGGACTCGGTGAGGGGATTAGGTCATGAAGGTAGAGCCCTCATGAATGAAATTAGTGCCCTTATAAATGAGACCCCAGAAAGCTCCCTCCCCCCTTTTACTATGTTAGGACACAAAGAGAAGGCAGAAGCTATTAACCAGGAACAATGTCCTCAGCAGAACTAGACCATGCTGGTGCCTTGATCTGGACTTTCCAGCCTCCAGAAGTGAGAGAAATAAAGGTATGTTTAACCACCCAGCCATGTTGGTTTTTTACAGCAGCATGAAGACCATTCATCTCCATCCTGTGAACCCCCAAAATAAGCAACTATGTGGGACCTGGGTGATACAAGGATTCAGGGAAAGACAAGACAGAAAGACACCAAAGACTGGCCCAGAACAACTCTTACCACATGATATGCCGCAGGAAAGAAAACTGTAACAAAGAGAGCTTCAAAGGGGGTCTTGAAAGAATAGATTCTGATCCATGAGTAGTGACCGTCAGTAACGGCAACACCTGGCACAGGCAGGCAGGAGGTCATGTCCGCTAGAGGAAGGAAGGAGACCTGGGCACACAGGTGTCTTGGATCTAGACAAAAATCACCTGGCCAGTGAAGGGTAAGCAGCTCTTGCACGGTGACGGCAGGACTCCTGACCCTGCATCCTTCCCTGGGAGTGTGAGGGAAGCGGGTGCTGGGGTTGCTAACGGACAGAACAGGGCAGTGCACTTACCTTCACCCAACCAACCACAGCACCTATGCAGGAAACTGAGGAAGGAGGCAACGCCCATGATTCTGATGTGAGAATATAGCTGTCCCTTGGGAAAGAGGAAGGGCAAAAAGTATCTCAGGGCACAGGGGTGGGTGTGAGGGCCTTACTCAGGGAGGTTATAAGTGCCAAGTTCTCCAGCATCACTCAGCTTGGGCATCTCTCAGCTTCATCAAGGAGACCCCATTCCTCCCAGGAAAAGTACACGGCCACGTCCTCAAAGGTCACAGTGCCCTGCTGGGATGGGGACAGACGAGCCACAGAAAGTCCACTTCTGAGAAGACACAATCAATCCCTTCGCCCACACATCTTCCCCAGGCCCACTTTCCTTCAAGTTCTCCAACTCAGAGAAACTATGCTCTGGTGCCACTGGTACCACTGTGTCTTCATGGGCCCATTTTTTTTTTTAATGTTTTTATTTATTTCTGAGAGAGAGAGAGAGAGAGGGAGAGAGAGAGACAGCATGAGCAGGGGATGGTCAGAGAGAGAGGGAGACACAGCTGTCAGCACAGAGCCCGATGCGGGGCTTGAACCCACGAACTGTGAGATCATGACCTGAGCCGAAGTCAGATGCTTAACCGACTGAGCCACCCAGGCGCCCCTTCATGGGCCCACTAATCATGGGGCCCAGACATTAGCAACAAGAGGCAGGTGGACAAATATATATCTAAGTTGTGGGCCTGGCATACAGGGATCCAGCTGCTCATATTATCCTGCTACAGCCAAGTTCTCAGTACCAGGTTCCAGAATCATCAGGTATACTCTCTCTCTGAGTACACATCATTCTTTATAGGGCACATCCTTTCCATCTCTGGATCCCGAAGCCACATGCCCATGGCCACCATCACCTCACTGGCCCACTCCATGTAGCCAGGCATGTCCCTAGATTCTCCACATGTTATTTGTATTTTATTTAGCATCTCTTCATCCCACTGGTGAGAGTGGATTTCCCACCCTACAGATTTGGAGATGGACAAACATGATCTCTGCCACTGGCCAGATGAGACTGACAGCAATGTATTAAGCACACAAACTCACAGCATAGGAGTGAGACATGCTACACCACACAGGGCCACATGGAGGTGGTACCCCAGAAAAGAATGAAGAACAGAATGAATCACCGGGGCTCTGAGATGTAAGCTCTGTAGTATCAGGAAGAAGAAGTGTACCTTGGTTCCCATGGGAAGAGGTGATCGGCTTATTACATAACCCCATGGATTGGTAGGAAACTGAAACCTGTTGCAAAAAGAGACACTGGAACTGCTCTAGTGTCCTTGATAAAAAGGGGGGTGTTTGGTTTGGAGAGCTGATCTGCAGGAGCACAGTGGGGAAGGGAACTTGCACTCAGGCCATCTTTGCCATCTCGTTTTTACCGTATGTTAAAGGTACCCATAATGGGTCTTAATTTTAGGCCTATGTTAAACTTGGCAGATGGCATCCAGACTACGCGTGACATATTCAAATAGGATCCAGTATTATCTCAGACATTCAATGGCTTCCTTAGCAGTCACAGCACCAAAACCCACAAAGATCTCCCTTCCTGGTTCCATTCCTTGCCTCAGACTCAATCACACAGAACCACGTATGGCTCTCAGATGCCCGTGGCCCACTTCCACTTCTATGCTGCCCTTGTCCTCTCAATGGTCACAGCCTTCCTCATCCAGAGCTCAGTCCACTGGCAGGCAGCCCACTCCGGTTCTAGTGACTCTTCCACGTGTGCTCCTGACATTCTTGTTCAAGATGAATGAAATACCACAAGCCTCACCAAAATTCTCACAAAACCCTGGTGTGTATAGAGACTGGTGAATAGGCTCTGACCTGAGATCTTGCCTCATTCTCTGCCTCTCCATCCAGCTCATGCCCACACTTCTCTCGGAAGCCTTGGCCACCTGTCAGGCAACACTGTCTCTGAGGCCCCTCTACCCTCTTCCCATCCCCCTGTGCCCACTGATAACCACTTACCTCCATCAGCTGTGTTGACAAAGCTTGGTAACACCAGCCAAGTAGGTATCCAGGCCCGAGACCCAGGCCTCTGCCCCCACCCTCCTTTAAGCTCCCTTTTACAGCTTTACATCATAACTTGAAGATCACCCCTCCTAAATGCGACCAACATTCATTCACTTGTTCCACACAGCAGCTGCCACATTTTGAATGCTTTCATCCTGAATCACTCCCCAGATTTCAGACCTATGTATTCAGCTGCCCACTTAAACACCTCCCCTTAGTGGCCTCCAAAACATTTCAGACTCTTAACAAGGTCAAAACACAGCTCCTGGTATCCCCAGTGAATACTACTCCAATAACCAAGTTCTTCATGGCAGATGAAGAAGCTTCCATCTCTACTTTTTTTTTTTTAATCTTTAACATTTATTTATTACTGAGAGACAGAGAGAGCATGAGGATGGGAGAGGCAGAGAGAGGGGGAGACAGAATCTGACCTGTCAGCACAGAGCCCTAACCAGAGCTCGAACTCACAGACTGTGAGATCCTGATCTGAGCTGAAGCTGGACACTTAACCAACTGAGCCACCCAAGCACCTCATTTTTAAAGTTTATTTATTTATTTATTGTGAGAAAAGGGGGAAAGAGTGTATGTGTGAGTGTATGCACCTCAAGTTGAGCAGCCAGCATGAAGCCACCTGTCTCCATTTCAGGGCTGGGCAGGGGGAGGAGAGGGAGAGGGAGAGGGAGAGCCTGAGTCCGGGATCCATCTCACAAGCCATGAGCCAGATGCTTAACCGTCAGGGCCACCCAGGTCCCTCCATCCCTACTTCTTTAAGACCAAAACCCATCTCTGAATCCTGTTTCACTCCTTCAGCATTCACATCAGAAAACCCAGTTGCCCCTTTAAAAACATAAATCCAGAATCCAATCACATCTCGCTACGGCTCTCCTTCGTTATCATTCACCTGGACTTTGGCAGTAGCCCCCACCCTGGATTGTCCTTCCTCCTTCTCAAGCCCAGTCACTGCCGACTAGCATTGCCTACAGCTGGAGCCTGTGAAGACCCTTTTAAGATCGCTTCCCTCTTTTCTTTTCTTTTTTTTTTTTTTTTTTTAATTTTTAGTGTTTATTTATTTTTTTGAGACAGAGACAGAACGTGAGCAGGGGAGGGGCAAAGAGAGAGGGAGACACAGAATCCAAAGCAGGCTGCTGACAGCTCAGAGCCTGACGCAGGGCTCGAACTCACAAACTGTGAGATCATGACCTGAGCCGAAGTCCGACGCTTAACTGGCCCGATCGCTTCCCTCTTCTGATGCAAACTTCGCACTACCTCCAGAGTAGACACCCAGGTTTTCAGGCAGCCACTGCGGTCCTGACTCCTACGCCCCTGCTCCTTGTTCCCACCTGAAAGAAAGTCTTGTGGTTTCCTGACCATTCTGAGTTCAGTATTAACTCTAAGAGTTTGCACACTCTGGTATCAAATCTGGAAATAGCCTTCCACATCTGTTTACACTGACTGCCAGGAACAGGCACACCTCCATATAACCCAGGGCATGGACCCTACTTTTGGGGTCCCTAGGCCCAAGGACCGAGTGAAGAGCACTGGAGTCTCAAGACAGCACAATCCACAGAACACGTGTTTCAGGGTGAGGGACTGAGACTGTTATGCCCGAATCGCGAGTCCCCTGAGACCTCCAAGGAGCCGACACCGATCCAAGTACATAAGGGTCTTTATTACAAGCTCGAGCAGGGGCTCACCTGTCAACCGGTGCAGCGGCAGCAGGATGAAGGCCCGAACAATAGCAAGCAGGGTTTTTACGGGGTAAGGGTGTTACAGTGCACACGTTGTACACATAGCATCATCACATAAGTACTAATCACAATTGTACAGCACCCATGGCAACAGTTTTGGCCATTCAGTATCTGTGAGGTGTTCGTTACTTTTGGCGGGACCCAATCATGACCTTTGAGACTCCTCTGAAAATGACCAATTATGAGGTGAGTTTAAAGGGCCCACGTGGGGTTCAGGCAAGCGGTGGGTGATTCGCTAGTTTGTACAAAGTAGTTATCTATAGTCCCCAGACCCTGACTCAGACCACAGGAGTGCTTCTGTCTTTCTTAGCTTCTTTAGATTGGCTGACCTGAGGGTGGTCCCAGGGAGGCTTCAGCTGAAGTTTTTCCTGGAACTGGGGCTACGTGCAGCCCGAGGCTGCCCTTAATGGGGGCCTTAATCTCAAAATGGCGTTACGTGGGCTCTTCAAGACACCCTCCATTCCCTGGAGCTCCAGAGCCGCTTCTGAAGCCATGGGAAAGGTTGAAAGAGGCTAGTCTTGGATGAATGAGTCCAAGGTAGGGTTCGATGGACTCAGGTCTCCCTCTCCCTCTGCCCGGCCCTGAAATGGAGACAGGTGGCGGCTTCGTGCTGGCTGCTCAACTTGAGGTACAGACTTCAATACCGCCCCTCATTACGCGTCCCGCACCCCATCACGCAGGCACTCAGACACGGGGTCCCTGCCCACGAGCGCCTCCCCGGCCCGGACACCGGGCCTTGGGCCGCAGGGACGCTGGCCGGAGCCCAGCGCTCGGGCCTCGAGGGTCGGGGGTTGGGGGGCGAGGTGGGCCCAGGGGCCGCGCGTTTACCTGAGCCAGGTCCCCGCCATCGGCCTCTGTGGGCGGAGGGGACACTCTGCCGCCGATCCCGGTCCCCTCACGGGGCAGCCCAGGCGGCGTCGCCGAGCCATGGACCCCGAGCTCCGCGCCGAGGATGGCTCCTCTCCTTGCGCCTGTTCGGTCAGTCACCTCGGTCCCATCCCCGACGCTCCGAACCTTCCTACGGTGACGATACTCCAGCGCAGCCGAAGTAACTGATTACTATAAAGGCGCCGGAAGTCCCGCCCGACGTTTTGTGCCTTCTACGAAACGCCAATTTTCTGGGCCTTAATTGGCTGGGTGATGCTGTCTCCTCCCCCCCATCGCAGAGCTTTCTGGACAATGTAGTTCCCACAGAGCCACAGGCCGCACGTAAGGGTTTCTCACCTCACCTCCAATCGAAAAGACTCAGCTCCGCCGCGAGGGGCGCTGGGAAACGGCGACCCTAGGTCCCGTGGCTGCCGAGGGTCTTAGCTCCTTCTTAAAGAGGCCGTGCTCAGATTTCTGAATAGTCTGGCAGCAACTGATAACCTGTTTGGAGACCTATCATTTTAGAGTCCGTGAGCCTCAGCGTGCTCTCAGAAGCTAAACATATTCTTCCAGATGTTCCCAAAAGCTGGAGATCTAGATGCACATAATATTCCAGAGTTAGTCACAAAATGTGTCCACTGGTAGAGGAAACTGATAAAAATTACCGTACTGTAATTCAATGCAGCTCAATGCATGAGATCTGAAGAATTAGAGCCAGTTTTAGAAACTGAACTGTGAAAGTTCCCTTAGAGACAGGAGGAAAAATGCCCCAGACAGGCCCATGACGAGGAAGATGGAGGAGGACGCAGCCTGAAGCAGGAGTACGAAAATGGATCCGTAGAATGTATGGTGTCCAGTGTGGTGGGCAACACTTTTATCCATTCATATCTGCTATTCAGTGTCCTTATATTCACTTCCTATAAGGTCTGATATTGATCTCAAAAAGAGAACAATGAAAGAAATACTCTTTTGATAGAGGACAGTGTCTGCAGTCTTCACAGGTGAAGCATGGATGCAAAGGGTGCTCTGAATCCCGAAATCTAGGAGTATCTCAAATTCATGATCTCATCGCATTTCTGGGAAGTATTATTATTTCCCTTAAGACTACAGTTCTGTAATGCATGAGGAATTGATTTTACCTCAGAAAAACAGTTGTAAAATGCAAATTATAGAAAGCCATTGATTTTTGTAACCATGTAAGGTGATGGATATTAATTAACTAGTTATTGTAATCATTTCACAATGTATAAAAACATGGAATCCTTGGGGCGCCCGGGTGGCTTAGTCGGTTAAGTGTCCGACTTTCACTCAGGTCATGATCTCGCGGTTCGTGGGTTCGAGCCCTGCGTCGGGCTCTGTGCTGACTGCCAGCTCAGGGCCTGGAGCCTGTTTCAGAGTCTGTGACCCCCTCTCTCTCTGACCCTCCCCTGCTCACGCTCTCTCTCTCTCTCTCTCTCTCCTAGAGATAAATAAAACATAAAAAAAAAAACCAAACAAACATGGAATTCTTATGCTTTATGCCTGAAACTAATATAATGTTATATATCACTATACTTCAACTAAAACATATTATTTTTTTAAGTTTATTTATTATTGAGAGTGACCGCAAAGGAGGGGCAGAGAGAGAGAGAGAGGGAGAGAATCCCAGACTGGCTCTGAACCATCAGCATGAAGCTTGATGCAGGGCTCCAAAAACCCATGAACGATGAGATCATGACCTGGGCCAGTCAGATACTCAACCAACTGAGCTACCCAGGCTCCCCTCTTTTAAAAAATTTTTATTTATTTTGAGAGAGAGAGAGAGAGAACCAGTGGGGTAAGGGAAGAGAGAGAGGGAGAGAGAATCCCAAGCAGGCTCCATACTGTCAGCGCAGAACCCAATGTAGGGCTTAAACCCACAAACCATGAGATTATGACCTGACCAGAGATCAAGAGTCAGACGCTGAACCAAGTGAGCCACCCAGGCACCCCTAATCTATCAATATCTCTACCTTTCTTCTGGCTGACAAATATTCCATTGTATGGATAGACTCCCATTTTATTTATCTATCAGTTGATGGACTTTTGGGTTACCACCTTTTTGCTCTTTTTTTTTTTTTTAAAGGTTTCTTTTCTTTTTTTTTTTAATGTTTTTTTTTTAATTTATTTCTAGGAGAGAGAGAGAGAGAGAGACAGCGTGAGCAGGGGAGGGTCAGAGAGAGGGACTCACAGACCGAAACAGGCTTCAGGCTCCGAGCTGGCAGTCAGCACAGAGCCCGACGCGGGGCTCGAACCCACGAACCGCGAGATCATGACCTGAGCAAAAGTCGGACGCTTAACCGACTAAGCCACCCAGGCGCCCACCACCTTTTTGCTCTTATGCATAACGTTGCTGTGAACATTTGTGTCTAGGTTTTTGTGTGTGTTTTCAGTTCTCTTGGATATAACCCTAGGAGTGGAATTGCTGGGTCATATAGTGACTTTGTGTCTAACTTTCTGAGGAACCATCAGACCATTTTCCAAAGCACTGGGCCATTTGGACTGAGCCCTGACTCTTGTATTTCCCACCTCTCCACAACTCCCAGCTTGCAGCACCCAACACGTCTGGCCATGCCTTAAAGAAACTTGCCTGCGGACCCTTTTTCCTCACCAGGGCCCAGCTCCTTAAAAACAGGGATGCTTGCATTTTAATCCAGTGTGGTGTCTACTTTGATATTTTCAGTCTCCTTGTGAGTAACAGGGAAACAAGGTGCTGGAACTGATAGATAATATCCCTGGAAAACTTGTATCGTGAGAGTGATTCCTTAGCATAGCCTGGGAATCTGCCCCAAGAAATTATTTGTGCTTCTGCTCAGGAGCAAGAAAAGAAAATCCTGAAAATCATTAATAAATTTTAAAAATGTTTTTAAGGGAAAAAAATAAAATCCTGAGAATTTCTCTTTCACACATATGAAATTGGATTTTTCTCTTTTCCAATTAAGTTAAAACTGTTAATGAACTGTGAGAGAATTGTTGTGCATATGGATTTATTTTCTGTTAAATACTTCCAGTTGTCTTCTTTAGTGCTCTGAACAGAACTCGCCAGGAGTGAGTCCTGCTCAGGTCCCCAGTCATGGGCTGTCCCTGCCGCCGTTGGCTCTACTTGGCTAGTGCATCCTGTGTCTCTTTTGTTACCTCTCATAGATTCTCCAGGCTCACGCTGTGCACACAATTATCTAGACTTGTTTCCGTTGATAACGATTGTTCTTTCTTCAATCTGTTTTCCATATACTTTCTTCTTTTGGATCTAATAACTAAAATGTAGACGTGAGGTTATTGGGATACTAATAAATGAGGAATAGAGACAGAAGAGGTGAGGGAAAACATATGGAAAAATTAAGGCACAAACAATACAATTTTCAAGATATAATGAACGATTCCTGTCTGAAGAAGACGGTGAAATTTGAATTTTAAAATGATTTCATCCCCACTCAGAAAATAAAATTATTTTCCCACTTCTTATATGCAGGCTTTATAAATGCCCAGTTTAAAAAACTATTGCCCGACAAATGGATAAAGATGTCATATAGATACAATGAAATATTACTCAGCCATAAAAATGAATGAAAACTTGCCATTTGCAATGACATGGGTGGAGCTAGACTGTATCCTGCTAAATGAAATAAGTCAGTCAGACAAAGGCAAATACCATATGATTTCACTCACGTGTAATTTAAGAAACAAAATAAATGAGCAAAATGGGGGGAAAGAGTGGGGAAGGCAATCCGAGAAACAGACTCCCACCTATAGAGAACAAACTGATGGCGACCAGGGGGGAGGCAGGTGGGGGACGGGTTACACAGGCGATGGGGATGAAGGAGGGCACTCATGGTGAGCCCTGGGTGATGTATAGAAGCGCCGAAGCACTATGTTGTACACCTGCAACTAATATTACACTGTGTGTTAACCAATTGGAATTCAAATAGAAACTTAAAAAAAAAGTTATACTTCAAAGTAAGGAAAAGACATTGACAAACCATTTCCTAAGGGTAGACAAGGGTATTGGCATCAGTGAGTCACAAGGACCACCGTACTCCTAGCCTTGCAGCCTGTCTCTGACTGTCGGGTCTGGGGCTGTTGCAGAGGAGATCCGGACAAGGGATGGCTGACATGATTGAATCAGACACTGCACTCTACATATTTTTGCTCTAGACATTTCTTAAGCAAGTATCCAAGAATCTCTGAACTCCTACAAAATCAGGTTCATATGAACACACGTGCCACCCTCTCCTCACAGAGACTTTCAGGGATGGTGAGCGTCTGGCACACAAGGGTCTGTCCTGTGGGCCTGGACCCTGTTCTCACATCAGATGGAGGCAGACGGTGCAGGAAGGACATCTGTCTAGCTATGTTCTACGTCAGCAACAACGCTGCACTGGTACATGTTTGGTGCGGGGCAAGGTTTTGTTTGCTGAACTCTGTGACTGGTCCTGGGCACTGCAGTCCGTGGCTGTTTGCCCCTCTGCATAATTTGATGAGAGCAGTTCACTTATGGAGGTGCGGCTATAAATATTCACCTTCATTACCTCAAACCCCATTAAATCCTACCCAACTTTGCCTTTGAAAACCAAAAGGTCACTGCCAGCTCAGCTTCCATGTGACTTTGCGTAGGACAAAACGGTGGGCGGGCCGTTCACCTGAGTGAATGAACTTTTCCAGCCCTTCCTCGTTCTCCGGAAGGAGGTAGGTGGACCCGTCCTGGCTCTCATCCTCGGTGCCCTCATCCGCATCTCCCAGGAACGGAATCCTGATAGTGTTATAAAGGCAGACAAGTTGCTGTCTTTCCTCAGCCCGGACCAGCCGACTGAAGAAGAATGTAGAGAAGTTTTTTAACGTTTATTACTTTTGGAGAGAGAGAGAGAGAGAGAGAGAATAAGCACAAGTGGGGAAGGGGCAGAGACAAGGAGACACACAAAATCCGAAGCAGGCTCCAGGCTCTGAACTGCCAGCACAGAGCCCGATGCAGGGCTCGAACTCACAAGCTGCTGTTGAGTTCAAGACCCCAGCCGAAGTCGGACGCTTAAGCAACTGAGCCACCCAGGTGACCCAGTAAATGATCGCATCTTAATCCTGTGACTTTTGACTGAAAAGGAGTCACTGGTACATGGTGGTAGGCGGGGGAGGCAGGGAGACAGAGACTGATCTCTACTGTGGGCTGCTAGGCAGAACAAGAGTAACAAACAATGCCAAATGTGACTCCAGGCCAGGACTGGGAGAGGTGAGGAAGGAACTCATGTGGGATACCAAAGCCCATAATCACGATAAGTAATATATTTAAGATAAATAATACCTTAATGCAATATTTTACAAAAGAAAAATCAATGCCAAGAAATCCATGATGAACAAAATATCAACATTTTAAAATAAAGTCCATACAGGTATTACTGATTTTTCCTTTTGTTCACTCTAACATGGCTTCGCCCAGCACTGCTACCGAGCCTGTATTTAAAATGTTGGGGGGCGCCTGGGTGGCTTAGTCGGTTAAGCGTCCGACTTTCGCTTAGGTCATGATCTCGCGGTTTGTGGGTTCGAGCCCCACCTCGGGCTCTGTGCTGACGGCCAGCTCAGAGCCTGGAGCCTGTTTCTCTCTCTCTCCCTCTCTCTCTGCCCCTACCCAGCTTGCTCCCTCTCTCTCAAAATAAATACAAATAAACTTCAAAAAATAAAAATAAAATGTTGGCATTTTGTTCACTGTGGGTATTTTTAAAAATAAATTTAGGTTCTATAAAATATTGCATTAAAATATCAAATATCAAAATTTCACA